ACAATTTAGTTTATCCATTCATCACTTTATGGACATTTAGGTTGTTTCACATTTTGGCTATAATGACTAATCCTGATATTTACATTAACATACAAGACTTTGTGTAGACATAAATAATTTATGTTAAACTTAGTGAAAGCAGGTTAAAACTCAGTTTAGACCCTCATCTTCAGCCAGAACACTGTTACTAGTGGAACTTGTGATATTTGCAGATTAAATGGCAGTTACACAAAAGTGCTGATAATTACAATGCCGGTTAACATAAAAATTTGTATAAACTCCCAAGGATTTTATAAAAATTTGGGGTTTTATGAGAATTTTTAGGTTGTGCCATTTCCATATCCACTCACAGCAAGCTTAGCCTTTTCCAATGGGTACAAACGATGCCAGGGGTAGAGTGAGTGCTTGCTGGCTTGAATTTAGAGGACTGGTCTGGAGTTTAAGAATTCTGTATTCTATTTCTATAACCCTTTTTGGTGCCCTGGGAAAATCTTGGCATCATACTCCTCAGTTTTCTAGTCTTCAAAATGGGGATAAATGATTCTCATACAAATCCCAAGGTGGTTATGAGGTTAAATATTTTCCAGGCACTTAAAGTGCCTCTAGTGAAAGGAAATACACAATATACGCATAAAGAATTTTTGTTGGCAAAGATGAAAGTTTTGCTAGCCTATTGTTCTTTCTGGAAAACCTAAAAGATAGGTAAAACCACACGTTTAATTTTGTACATTTGAGTAGGCAAAAATGTGATACTCATTTCCACCAAGGCCAAAAATGTCCATTATTCTAGCAATGTTAAGCCCTTGATTAGAAGAAGTTTTTCTGAATTCCCCAAAGCTTTCCTAACTACATTCTAAAATGAAATCCGTTTACTTTTTCTCAAAGCACAGCAACATTTGGTTTAGAGCAGAGGACAAGATAGTTCTATAGAAGGAAATTAATCCAATAAGTAATTAACCAACAAGTCCTCATTGAAGGAGACACAAGGTGTTTCAGGCTTTAAGGAATTTACATTTCTGAGGGGTTTCAAAGCAAATTAATGATGCAGAAACTATGTCTTATTTAATTTTAGTACCCCATGTCTATTTCCATTCCCAAATGGTATCTAGCCTGTTGAAGAAAAATTTTTAAATGGTATAATGTTTTGATTCTTATAGAGATAAAAATAAACATAGGTTAAAACCAGATACATGTTATAACCAGTTCAAAGGGAATTCCAATAACAGACACATATATGGATTTGGAATGTTCAAATGAATGTGGAAATGGAGGCGAAATGTGGCTTCTACATTATGAAAGTGAAGTCAGTTAAACCTCTACCACGCAGGCCTCTGGAGTGCTCAAGAAACATTTTTAAAGTTAATGGATAAAAATAACTAATCAGACAATAAAAGCTGTAGAAATTATAGGAGGAAATTGAAAAAATATCTCTAAGATTTTATTTATTTTTTAATCCTCACTTGAGGACATATTTATTGATTTTTTTTGAGAGAAAAGAAAGTGGGGGAGAGAAAGAAACATTGATGTGACAGAGAAACATAAATCAGTTGCCTCCCATATGTACCCTGACCAGGAATTGAACTAACAACCTAAGTGTGTGCCCTTACCAAGCATAAAATCTGCAACCTTCTTGATATATGGGATGATGCTCCAACCAACTGAGCAACCTGGCCAGAGATACCTGTAATATTTTATAAAGAGGAGGTCAGGAATTAGACATTGAAAATATTTGGATAAGGTCAGTGTGCAAGGGAAGAGAAGAATGGGAAGTTCTAGCAGGGCAGAAATGGGATGACCTATCCTGCTGAAAGTCCAGGATAGTTGGAAGTGAAGACTTGGATTGATTCCATGACAGGGATTAAGAGGTAGGTCACTTATCTACATGTTCCCAAAGAAAGATGTCGCTGTGTCCCCAGTTGCTTTGAAAATGGAATTAGCGTCTGGGATCCCACAATTACATAGGTTTGAGGGGTCCCAACCGCTCCTCACAAAATATTTCAGAGATTCACCAGACTTCCTCTGTGTCCCAATTTCCCAACTTTAGTCACTCCTTTGGTTATGCAGTATTAAGAGCAAATGTCTAAATGAAAATGACATCTTGGAAGAGTAAGTTAGATAGCCTGATATTGGACATTAGCACCTCAGTTCCTGTTAGCTGATCAGTTCCCTTAAAGCAGGAAGTACTCTGGAGACCCTAGTCAAGATGCCACTTTAGATTTTGGCCAGTTTTATTCTGGCCATAACTGTTCAGGACATGTGTGTCTATTCCACAGATGCTTTGGGATAAGGGAGAGGAATTCTCCAAAGCATCCCGCATACATAGACCTATAGATGATGATCACCTTTGTTCCTAATTGTTCTAATGATGAGCTTTGGATAGGATTCTAACTGACTTGGCTAGAAGCTTAAGTTCTTTCCCTTTAAATCATACCTCTGAGTCTCTTTGAGTTTCTCTTTCTTTTAACTTTTTTATTATTGTTGTTCAATTACAGTTGCCCCATCTTCCCCCATTACTCTCCCCTTCCCTACCAACCAACCCCCTTTCAACATTCCACTTTCAATCCTTCCCCTGCCCCTATTGTATTTGACCATGGGTCCTTTATACATGTTCCTTGACCACCCTTTCCCTTCTTATTCCATTATCCTCTTCCCCACTCCCCTCTGGTACCGTCAGTTTGTTCTATATTTCCATGTCTCTGGTTTTATTTTGCTTGCTTGTTTGTTTTGTTCATTAAGTTCCACTTAATAGGTGAGATCATATGGTATTTGTCTTTTACCACCTGGATTATTTCACTTAGCATAATACTCTCTAGTTCCTTCCATGCTTTCTCAAAGGGTATGAGTTCCTTCTTTCATTCTGTTGTGTAGTATTCCATTGTGTAAATGTACCACAGTTTTTTGATCCACTTATTTGCTGAGGAGCACTTAGGCTGTTTCTAGCACTTGGCTATTATAAATAATGCTACTATGAACATTGGGGTGCATAGGTTCTTTGGAACTGGTGTTGCAGAATTCTTATGGTATAATCCTAGCAGTAGAATTTCCAGGTCAAAAGGCAGTTCCATTTTTAGTTTTTTGAGGAAATTCTGTATTCTTTTCCACAGTGGCTGTACCAGTCTGCATTACCACCAACAGTGTTCTCCATAACCTCTCCTGCACTTGCTGTTTGTTGATTTGTTTATGGTGGCCATTCTGTCAGATGTGAAATGGTATCTCACTGTGGTTTTAATTTGCATCTCTCTGAAGGATAGTGATGCTGAGAATCCTTTCATATGTCTATGGGCCCTCTGTATATCCTCCTTGAATAAGTGTCTGTCAGGTCCTTTGCCCATTTCTTAATTGGATTGTTTGTCTTGTCTTCCTGGAGTCGAGTCGTGTGAGCTCTTTATATATTTTGGAGATGAAACCCTTGTCTGAGGTATCATTGGCAAATATCTTTTCCCATACAGTTGGTTCCCTTTTCATATTGTTGATGTTTAGCCATGCAGAAGGTTTTAAGTTTGATACAGTCTCATTTGTTTATTCTTTCCTTTATATTCTTTGCTCTAGGGGACATATCGGTGAAAATATTGCTGTGTGGGATATCTGAAATTTTACTGTTTATCTTCTCCTTTAGGACTTTGATGGTGTGACTTTTATCCATCTGCAGTTTGTTTTTGTGTAAGGTATAAGTTGGTGGTTGAGTTGCATTTTTTTTGTATGTAGCTGTCCAGATCTCCCAACACCATTTGTTTGAGAGGCTATTTTTACGTCATTTTATGCTTCTGCCCCGTTCGTCGAATATTAATTGACCATAGAGATATGGGTTTATATCTGGGCTCTCTATTCTGTTCCATTGATCTATGTGTCTGTTCTTATGCCAGTACTAGACTGTTTATTACAGTGGCCTTGTAATGTAGTTTGATGTCAGGTATTGTGATTCCTCCTCTTTGTTCTTCTTTCTCAAAATTACTGCAGCTATTTAGAGTCATTTATGGTTCCATATAAATTTTTGAAATGTTTGTTCTATGTCTGTGAAATATGTCATTGGTATTTAAATAGGGATTGGGTTGAATCTATAAATTGCTTTGGGTACTATGGACATTTTGATGATGTTATTTGTTTCAATCCATGAACATGGTATATGCTTCCATTTATTTGTGTCTTCATTAATTTCTTTCTTCAGTGTTTTTTTTTTTTTTTACATTTTGGTGTGTATTTTATTTTTGATTGGAATCATATCCATATGAAGTAAAATTGCTACATATCCTTTACTCTTTTGAAAGCTAGACCCTTGCCGTGCTGTGTCAGAGGAAGGCAAAACTAAGCCAGTAATGCTGGAGGCGTCCCTCTTTCCATACGCACACTGACAGGAGAGGAGCTGTCTGGGAAAAGCCTTTTGATGGATGAACAGAGGAGGATCTACACACGTTAAATACAATTGAAACACATCAGCACACGCAAGCCATTAGCCTGGTCCTCTGGCATCCCAGGCATGCATCTTTTCCAAAGGATCTCTTATTCAGTGGTGTCAGCACTTGGTCTTGTTTTACCTCCTTATCAGCAAATATCTTTTTATTCCAGAATGGAAAACAAGCTAGAAATTAAATATATCCAATACTGATGCTTCATTTCTCTAAGTCACCAATAAGAGAATAAATTTAATTGTAATACATTTATTTTCATGTAATTCTTAATAAAACACTTTCAAAACAGTCTGTACATTTCAGGCCACTAAGAACTGCATTACATTCTATAAATGTGATTTGTTGGGATGAGGTGCCAAGATGTCTCTGTACAAAGATGTACAATATGTACAGTCACTCACTCTAAGGGCAAGCTGTGCAAAGCAGTCTAGGACACTAATTCATGCCAAAGCTTAGAAAACATTTCAACACGTAAGACTAAAGCTTGAAACTGCGTTGTGTTTTTTTTTCTTTTTCCTGGGCAAATGATTATAAACAAATATATGTATATGTCATAGAGACTCCTCAGCCCAGCCAGCACCACGTGGCTGCTCTCCTAGGCCTCTCTCTTCAGGAGGCCGATTTGCCAAACTCAACGGTCAGCTCATCACTGAGCTGCTACCACTGCCTTTGACTGAACCACAGGAACACTAGGAGATTTAAATTTGGGGAGATAAAGGCCAAACTTGTTTTCAATGCCAGCGAAAGTGGCTGTGGCAAGTCTATATCCACCAATGTGATGGGGATTGGCAGGAGGAAGGTTTGCAATGCGTGACTTAGGTGTCGGTTCTGAGCCAGAGGGTTTGAGGCCTCCAAAATCAATGTAAAACCACCGCTGAAGAAGTTCATAGGTGACCAAGGTAACCCCAAACTGGGGAGAGGACTGGAACACTCGAGCTGCAGTCCCCTTCCAAAAGGCGGAGGGCCCTTCTTCCTGGAGTATCTTCCTGAAACAGTCGATGACACCGCTGTATGTTGTCTGGCCAGCACGGGCAGCCACTTGCAGTCTTGTCTTGATGACGTCCGCAGGGGTTACCAGAGAGGCCGCGGGCACACCTGTCATGGCTCCAGCTGCAAGGAGATTTAAACCTCCCATATGTCCGTTTTCATCAGCCAGAAGTAGTTTGCAATGAGCATAAACAGGAAAATAGATGGCAGAGAAGGGAATGTCTCGGAGGAAACACGCTTTGGCACCCTTATACAAACCAAAAAGCCCCAGGTCCCGGAGCACACTCAGGGCGCTGACCCGGGGTCCTGTTGTGATCTCTCCCGCTACCTGCAGGCGAATCTTGACTATCTCCAGTGGGTTGGTGAAGATGACCTGAGAGCCGCCAGCACAACCTCCAGCAAGGACTTCTGCAAAAAGTGGAATGGAGCCATCTCTTCTGGTGAATTTGTCCCGAACAAAATCATTAACAGTCAGTTTAATGGCCTTTTCTGGAGCAACCCCTATAAGCTGTGGCATCAGGCCCCGGTAAAGTCCAAAGAAGCCCTCATAATGCAAGACTTTCTTAAAACAGTCAAAGCTGTTTTTGTACATCAGCTCCCCGACAACAGAGCCGGTGCCACGCTGGTTTTGCATGCGGGTCTTCACCAGATCTATAGGATAGACTGCAGTGGCTCCCACAGCTCCAGCAACTGAGCCCAGAGTGAATCTGTAAGCAGACTCGGCAATCTGGAGCCAGATAGGCCTGCCTAAACCATGAGATTGCTGTCTCTGAAGTTCTGCCAGGTTGTAAGGTAAGGCCCCCTCAGCCAACGGTGCTATTCTCTCAATATCTGCCAAAGTCAAGCGCCCTGTAGCATTATATAAGTCTGCAAGCTGGTATAGGATATCAATTTCCAGTGGAGTGACTTGTCCATAGCGTATTGCACTCTGAGAAAATTCCTCCTTTGTGACTTCAACATGTTTTCTTGTGCCAGCTAGAGTGCTATATATCTTACGAACAAGCTCCATGTTATTCAGTAAGGAGTTAAATGCATTGAAGTAGGAGAAGCTAACCTGATATGAGATACTTCCTCCAGCTGCTGAAACTAAGTTCTCCTCCACAAACGGAGTAAGCATGTGAGATCGAATGGTAACCATGATGTCACTGAAATCCAGACCAGAAATCATGCCGCTTTTGCTTTTGTCTTTCAGTGCAAAGGCTTGTCTTGCATGTTCCAATTGTAGCTCCTGGAGAAACTGTGTGAATTCTGTGTAGTTAAGGTGCTTCTTCCGATTATGCCCAAAATGCAGTCGGATAAATTCACAGTCCCAGTTAAAAGGGATATGATGATGAATAATAGTCTGTCCAAAAATTTCTTTGACATTTTCAAATGTCACCTCTCCATTTCCACTTTTGTCAAACAATTGGAAAGCCACTATGAACATGGAATCTGGAGCACATAAAACAGATTCAAATGCCAAAAACTCTTGATAGGAGATCAACCCATCCTTGGTTTGATCAGCTACTCCTGCCAAGAGCTGGATAATCTTCGGATTGCTATTTGGATCATTATACAGTCCAAGATAGCGCTGGACAAAATCTTCTGGGGTCATGTAATGTTCTCCATTGACCTCAGTACTGGCATACTGTAGGAATATATTTCTTAGCTCATGAGGATCACCTTGCTTAGTTGTCTGCACCTTGACCACCATGCTGTGCTCAGAAGCCGGGGCCTCTTTCTTCAGTGTTGTGTAGTTTTCTCAGTACAGGTCTTTTACCTCCTTGATTAAGTTTATTCCTAGATACTTTATTTTTCTTGTTGCATTAGAAAATGGGATTTTCTTTCCAATTTCTGTTTCAGATATTTCATTGTTGGTGTACAAAAATGCCTTCGGTTTCTGAATATTGACTTTTTATCCTGCTGTTTGAGTTTCTTTGTCCTTAGGCATATTTTTCTTATTATTGGTCCTCAGGAGAGGCAAGGAGAAAGCTAGAGGTATGGACCTCTGTTTAATAGAATAAACTGCAGAGGTTATACTGACAGGGGTGGGTGTCTTGTCAAATAGCTTCTCAAAAGGGAGAAAAGAATTGTCAAAGAAGGGTATATCTTTCTGAAATGCTGCTTTTCCCATTTCATTCCTCTTTCTACTGACTTTCATGTTTTTCATAGTGCTTAGCTTTTGGAGTTGATTCATATGTGCAGTCTACACTCTTTGGGGACACCCTAGAGAAATATTAAATTATTTCACCAATTATAAGCACTTAAATTATAAGCACTGTGTGGGGCACTGCGGAATGTACAAATGGCTATGAGACTGACCTCTGCCCTCAAGTTGCATACATGAGGAAGCAAGTCATTGGCACATGAAAATATCACTAATAAGCATAACAAGTGTTCCCATCAACATTATGGAATGGCTATATTTCAGAACTCACCAGAGAGCTGCATCTTGAGTTAAGAACATGTCAAAAGGTGAAAAACTAATATTTGAGAAATTTTAATTATCTTCTAGATCAGCAGTTCTTAAACTAGGCTATTTACTAAAATCACACAAGAGGCTTTTAAAAAAATACAGATGTACAAACTCTATCCTCACTACACAATTCTGTTATAATTGAGTTGTGATGGAGCCCAGATATTAGTATATTAAAATATTTTTACTAGAAAAGTAAATGCAACATTTAAAAGTGCATAAAATGAGGATGTACAGTTTAATAAATGATCATTCGGTGAATACCAGTGTAACCAACACCCAGGACAAGAAATAGAACATTTCCCAAATTCAGTGAGTCTCCACTCCATGACTCCATGGGCTCTCCCAATCACAATCACCTTCTTCCTCCACAGGTAACCACTATATATATATATATATATATATACATATACACACACACACACACACACATATATATATATATATATGGTTATTGTTGTTGTTGTTTTTTTTGCTCTTCTTGTTTTATACTTACCATAATATTAAATGAGTAAGATCTTTTTCTGAATTTTCTGGAATAAAAAGGAATACTTTGCATTCTTTCGTGCCTGGCTCTTCCAGCATTATGTCTGTGAGATTTATCTAATTTGTTGTATGTTCACTTAAATTGTTCTGCACTATTCCATAGTAGGAATATTCCACAATTTCTTTATCCATTTATCCATTCTACTGTTGGTGAATGTTTGCATTATTTCCAGTTTGGGTCTTTTATGAATGTCTTTGTACATGTGTTTTGATGCACTTAACAATGCATTCCTGGTGGATTTATACTCGAGTACTATTGTTCAGTATTAGTTTATATGTTCAATTTTAACAAATACTGCCAGTTTTCCCAAGTGTTCTACCAATTTGCTCTCCCATCCTCACTGAGTTACTTTTGTTCACATTCTCACTGACATTTGGTATTGTCAACCTTTTCTAGTTTTAGGCATTGTGATGGGCATTGTGATAAACACAATGGTATCTTATTATGGTTTTAATATGTATTTCCTTGATTATTAATGATATTGTACACTTTTTCATATATTTATCGGTCACTTGAATTTCCTCTTTTGTAAAGTGGTATTCTGAATCTTTCTTATTTTTCTAGTGTGTTGTCTATATTTTTCCTGTTGATTTGTAGGAATTATTTATTTACGCAAGACACAAGCCCTTTGTCAGTTGTATATTTTGCAAACATCTCTTCTTAGTCTGTGGCTTGCCTTTATACCCTCCTAATGGTGTTTTTATGAACACAGTTATTAATTTTAATATAAATCAGAATTGTTTTTTAGAATTATCAGGGTTTTTTCCTATTTTAATTTTATTTTACTGGAAGATATAGAATATGTAAAATATTGCATACAATTATACTTTAATCAATAAAACAATAAATAACCACCTGCATAACTACCACTTAAATTAAAATATAGAGTTTTTTGAGTACCAAAGAAGCCCCAAGCCTCTCTGTAATAGAATTTATTCACTTTCCAAGAGGTAAGTTCTACTCTTAAATATTTTGATAATCATACTCTTCCTTTTTATTTTTTTTAATTGTTCAAGTACATTTGTCTCCATTTTCCCGCAACTACTTTCCCCTGCCCCACCTATCCCCACCTCCCACCCTCAAACCTTCCCCACTTTGGCTTTCTCCATGGGTCCTTCATACATGTTCCTTCATTTGACTCTTCCCCTTCCATTCCCCATTACCCCCCTCCCTCCTTACCCCATGTTACTGTTACGTTTTCTTTTCTTTCAATGCTGGTCATATTTTCCTTGCTTGTTTGTTTTGTGGATTAGGTTCCACTTATAGGTGAGACCATATGGTATTTGTCTTTCATCAACTGGTTTATTTCACGTAGCATAATGCTCTCCAGTTCCATCCATGCTGTAGCGAAGGGTAGTAGCTCTTTCTTACTTTCTGTTGCGTAGCATTCCATTGTGTAAATGTACCATAGTTTTTTGATCCACTCATTTACTGATGGGCACTTAGGTTGCTTCCAGCACTTTGCTATTGTAAATTGTGCAGCTATGAACATTGGGATGCATAGGTTATTTTGAATTCGTGTTTTGGAATTCTTAGGGTATAGTTCCAGCAGTGGGACCATTGGGTCAAAAGGCTGTTCCATTTTTGCTTTTTGAGGAAATTCCAAACTGTTTTCCATAGTGGCTGTACCAGTCTGCATTCCCACCAACAGTGTACAAGGGTTCCCTTACTCCACAACCTCACCAGCACCTGTTGTTTGTCGATTTGTTTATGATGGCCATTCTGACTGCTGTGAAGTGGTATCTCATTGTGGTTTTAATTTGCATTTCTCTAATGGCTAGTGATGCTGAGCATCCTTTCATAGGTCTCTGGGCTCTGTGTACATCCTCCTTGGAGAAGTGTCTGTTGGGGTCTTTTGCCCATTTTTTAAATTGGATTGTTTGTCTTCCTGGAGTGGAGTTAGGTGAGTTCTTTATATGTTTTGGAGATCAAACTTCTGTTCGAGGTATCATTGGCAAATATATTTTCCCATATGGTTGGTTTGCTTTTCGCTTTGCAGATGTTTTCTTTAGCCATGCAGAAGCTTCTTATTTTGATGAAGTCCCATTTGTGTAAACTTTCCTTTATGTCCCTTTCTCTAGGGGACATATCGGTGAAAATATTGCTGTGTGGGATATCTGAGAGTTCCCTGCCTATGGTCTCCTCTAGAATTGTTTTGGCATTGTGACTTATATTTAAGTCTTTTATCCATCTAATTTTGTGTGTGTGTGTTTGTATGTTCTATGTAGGTGGTTGAATTTCAATTTTTTTGCATGTAGCTATCCAGCTCTCTGAACACCATTTGTTGAAGAGGCTATTTTTACTCCATTTTAGGCTTCTGTACCCTTTGTCAAATATTAATTGACCATAGGCTTATTTCTGGGCTCTCTATTGTGTTCCATTAATCTAAGTGTCTTTTCTTAATGCCAGTACCAGACTGTTTTGATTACAGTGGCCATGTAATATAGTTAGATGTCAGGTATTCTGATCCCTCTTGCTTTCTTCTTCTTTCTCAAAAGTGCTGTGGCTATTCAGGGTTGTTTATGGTTCCATATAAATTTTTGAAATGTTTGTTCTATGTCTGTGAAATACATCATTGCTATTTTAATAGGGATTGCATTGAATCTATAAATTATTTTGGGTAGTATGGACATTTTGATGATGTTAATTCTTACGATCTATGAACACGGTATATGCTTCCATTCATTGGTATCTTTCTTAATTTCTTTCTTCAGTGTCCTACAGTTTCCTCAGTACTGGTCTTTTACCTCCTTGGTTAAGTTTCTATCCAGGTACTTTATTTTTCTTGTTCCTATAGCAAATGGAATTTTTTTCCCTGATTTCTGATTCTTATATTTCATCATTGGTGTATAAAAATGCCTTCAATTTCTGAATATTGACTTTATATCTCACTGTTTTCACAAATTCATTTATTAGGACGAATAGTTTTTTGGTGGAGTCTATGGGGTTTTCTATGTACACTGTCTTGTCATCTGCAAACAATAATAGTTTTACTTCCTCCTTTACAATTTGGATGTCTTTTATTTCTTTTTCTTGTCTGATCACTGTGGCTAGGACTTCCAGTACTATGTTGAATAGAAGTAATGAAAGCAGACATCCTTGTCTTGATCCCAATCTTCGTGGGAAAACTTTTTTTTTTTGCCTATTGAGTATGATTTTAGCTGTAGAGCTGTAGGTTTTTCATATATGGCCTTTATTATGTTGAGGTATGCCCCCTTTATTCACACTTTGCTCAGTGTTTTTATCATAAATGGGTGCTGTACCTTATCAAATGCTTTTTCCATATTTATTGATATGATAATGTGGTTTTAGTCTTTCATTTATGTGATATATTATATTTATTGATTCAATATTGAACTATCCCTGCATCCCTGGAATGAATCCCACTTGATTATGGTGGGTGAGCTTTTTAATGTATTGCTGGACGGGGTTTGCCAATATTTTGCTGAGTATATTAGTATCTATGTTCATCAGCAATATTGGCCTATAGTTTTATTTCTTGGTTGTGTCTTTATCTGGTTTGGGGATTAGAATGATGCTGGTCTCAAAAAAGGTTTTGGGAGTCTTACCTCTTGGAATTTTTGGAATATTCTGAGAAGGATAGGGGTGAGATCTTCCTTAATGGTTTCTATTTCTCCTGTGAAACCTTCCTGCCCAGGGCTTTTGTGTCCCAGGAGGTTTTGATTACTGC